GCCCACGTTGGTAATCAGGTCTTTGTCCAGTTTTTCGTTGTTCCTGACTGAGTTGCTTATCTCTTTTGCCTCTCATATTCATAATTTGGCCTCCATTATAAGGCCCAGAGTTCTGAAGGGAGGCCTGTTTTTGCACTCTCTCATCTTCCTCCAGAGAGCGAATCAGTGTCTCTTTAGGCCTTATTATTATTATTTTTTAAGAGTTTATTTATTTTATACAAGAACTGGGGTATAGTCAGAAGTGCGGGAGGGTGAGAGAATTCACCAGAGCCAGAGCAGGGAGCACAACAGGCAGACAGACCAAAGACACTGCTGAGGGGAGCAGCGGGCAAGTCAGGAGAGGTCTGCTGCTCCATGTGGGGTTCTCCCTGGCCGTTGGGGAATCGAACCGGCGCTGCAGAGTCTGCGGACAGCTTCGAAGCGCGGCGCTCAACCGCTGCGCCACCGGGGAGGCCCTCTTTAGGCCTTATTATTGATCCCAATTTAAACATGAGAAAAACATTTACCTTTCAGGGACTGTTGCATAGAACCCCATCCAGACCACAGGTACTCAAAGAGCCCGAGTCACTACCTTCTCTTTTCAGGCATTTATTGGCAAAGGTTCTATTTATCCTCCCAAGGATCTGTCATTAGGTTACGAGTCTGTTCACCCATCTGGTCAGTATTTAGAACCTCCAAATATTCAGTGTAGGGTTGTCCCAACCAAACACGCTATAACACTCCTGGAAGTGGGCATAATGTTGGATGTTCATCTGAATGATAACAAGATACCTTAATAAAAATTTCAGCGTGTACAGAAATTTCAGCGTGTGCAGAAATTTCTGTGGAACTAGTAGCAAAAATATACATTATAGAAATCTCAGTTTCTTGAGTTTTCATCTATTTATCAATTATCAGATGCCTGGCATCCTGTTCTTTTCCCCTTTTCTGCCTTGCCTGACTGTTTGTACTATTTTCAAACTTCTATATACACACACCCAATGGCTAATAATATAAATTCTGGCACCTTCTAGCTGGTTGGATGATCTCCAGTAAGTTACTTATTTCATTTGAATCTCAAGCACTTCATTTGAAAATATAATAATAGTTTATATCTCAAAAAAGTGTGTGACGATAAAATGAGATTTATTTAAAGCAGCAGTTATCAAACATTTTCTGACTTAAAACTTTTTTAACTTAAAAACGGAGGGTCTCAAAAGGCTGTTCATATGAGTCTTATCTATCAGTGTATACTGTATTGGAAATTAAAATGGCAACATTTTATATTTGTTAATTTATTTGAAAATAGCGATTACAAAGTCAATGTTAACAGAAATAACATTTTAAATTAAACAACTGTTTCTCAAAAACCTTTACAGAATGACATTATTTTATATTTTGCTAATCTCTTGAATGTCTTTATGGCAGTTAGATTTTCATATGTTCCTTTATACTTGATTCAGCTGCAATATGTTGTTTTGGTTGAAGTACATGAAAATAATGTGACTTCACACAGATGTGTCCTACAATCTTTAGAGAGAATTGTGGATATTCTCCTTTGATAGTTTACACAAATTTAAATGGTAGTTTATAAAAAATATGTGAATTTGGAATCTTACATTGTTTCAATGAACACTTTGTACTCTATAATATTAAAATACATTGGTCTGGGTTGCATTTTGAATGGCTCTTTCACTCATGTGTGATTTTATGTATTCTGAATTTACAAAATACTAGTCATTTACAAAATACTAGTTTATTGATGTGAACATTAAAGGAATCCAATTTATTTAAAATTTAAAAAAATAAAATTTTATTGATTTACTATTAACTTATAACAATGTAAATTTTGGAAGTGCAGCTGCATACTCTAATATATATCTATGCCTTACCATACCCAACACCAAAGTTCTAGTGCCATCCACACTATTAAATTGAAACCCTCTACCTATTCCTCTCACCCTCCTCCACCTTTTTCCTCTGTAACCACCATAATTTTGAGAGTCTATGAATTTTACTTTTCTTTTTCTCAACATATCCACCTCTTTTGGTAGCCATTAATTGGTCTTATAGCCAAATGTTTAGTTTTGTTTTATTTTAGTAGATTTGTTTATTTTTTTCTCTGTATATTACATTGAGTGCAATGATATGGTGTTTGTCTTTTTATGTCTGACTTATTTCACTAAGCATAATCATCTCTCTAGGTCCATGAATGTTGTTACAAATGGTAGGATTTCATCTTTTTTAGTAGCTGAATAGTATTTCACGGTGTATATAAATCATATCTTCTTTATATATTTGTTAGTTGATAGCTTGTAATTGATGTAAATCATGCTGCAATAAACTTGAAGGTGTATATGTCTCTTTGAATTAGTATTTTTGTGTTTTTCATGTAGTACCCAGTGGTGGGATAATTGGATTGTATGGAATTTCTGTTTTTAAGTTTTTTTTGGAATCTCCATACTGCTTTCTGTTATGGCTGCATCAATTTACATTCCCCCAAAAGTGTATAGTTTCTTTCTTTCTATGTCCTTTCCAATACTTGTTGTTTCTTGCCTTTTGGATAATAGCCATTCTCACAAGCGTGCTGTGGTATCTCGTTGTTTTGATTTGCATTTCTCTAATAAGAAATGATGAGCATCTTTACATCTGCCTACAGAGAAGTGTCTATTCAGATCCTTTGTCCATTTTTAAATCAGGTTGTTTGTTTTTCTTATTGTTGGGGTTTATGAATTCTTTGTATATTTTGGATATTAATTCCTGTCAGATGTGTGATGTGCAAATATCTTCTCTGATTCAGTATGATGTCCTATTGTTTTGATTCAAGTTTCTTCCACTGTGCAGAAGCTGTCTAGTCTGATGTAGTCCCATTTATTTCTGCATTTGTTTCCCCTGCTGTTGGATTTGAGTCCCCAAAGACACATCTTAAGGCTGATGTTAAGGAACTTATGTTTTCTTCTAGGTATTTTATGGTTTCAGGTCTTACATCTAACCCTCTAATCCATTTTGACTTAATTCTTGTATATGGTGTGAAATAATGGTCTAGTTTTATTGTTTGGTATGTAACTGTCCAGTTTTCCCAATACCTTTTATTGAAGAGACTTTCCTACTCATCATAAACTCTTGGCTCCTTTGTTGTAAATTAGTTGTTCATGTCTCATTAGTTGTCTGTATGTGTGCCTGCACTCTTCGTTCTGTTCTGTTGATCCTTGTGTTTGCTTCTATTCCAATATCAAGCTGTTTTAGTTACTATCACTTTGTAGCATAGCTTCGAGTCAGGGAATATGATCCCTCCTATTATGTTCTTTTTACTCAGGAGTGTTTTTGCTATTCAGGACTTTTGTCGTTTCAAATAAATTTCATGATTGTTTTATTTCTGTGACAGGGATTACAATCCATGAGCATATTATACGGTACCATATTTTTGAGGTCTTTCTTTCTTTTAATAATATATATATAATTCTTATATACAGGTTTTTCACTTCTTTGGTTGAATTTATTCCAAGATATTTTAATTATTTCTGATGAGAGTGTAAATGGGATAGTTTTTCTACTTGTTCAATATTTGTTTACAGAAATCAACAGATTTTTGTATATTAATCTTATATATACTGCCACTTCACTGTATTCATTTATGATTTCTAGTAGCTTTTTACTGGAGTATTTGGCACTTTATATGTAAATTATGTCATCTGCAAACAGTGATGGTTTCACTTTTTCCTTTCTAATTTGGATATGTTTATGTACGTTTTATTTTCTTTAAATGATCAGGCTAGGACTTACAACACTATATTGAATAATAATCATGAGAGTGGACATCCTTATCTTGTTCCTGATGCTCAAGGAAAAGTTTTCAGCTCCTCATCTTTGAGTATGATGTTGGCCATGGATTTGTCATATGTGGCCTTTATTATGTTGTTGTATGTTCCTTCAGCAACATTTTTCTGAGCTTTTTATTCTTTTATCATAAAAGGACGTTGAGTCTTGTCAAATGTCTTTTCTGCATCTATTAAGATGGTCAGATGATTTTTGCCCTTCCTTTTTGTTGATATGGTAGATCATGCTTATTCATTTGCATAAATTGCACCACCCTAGGGACCCCAAACTGCTGAAGGGCATGTTCTAAATATATTCCACCATCCATGCACACAAAAGCAAAGAAAGTAAACTGTCAGTATGAATGATCTTAGTTGGTATGCATAGAGAGAGAGAAGAAAGGTTTCAAGTAACCTTGAAACCTTAAAACTTCAGAAATTATCCCTCATGAACAAATACAAATGCACAACCCAACTGACTCAGTTGAAATTGGGGTGGTGGAAGCCTGAAATCTAAGGCACCTTTTGGTGGGAGACTACAAGAAAAGGATTAGGCAAGTCCCAAAGAACTGGATAGAAGGAGAGGCCTGAAATTCAAAATGTATCATAGAATCCACCATGAAGTCAATTGAAAGGATGTTACTATCTCTGCCAAAATGCCAAAGTCCCAGGAGCAGCCTGCACATGTCTCTCACCCACATGTCCTTGTATTTTCCCCACCTTCATCCTACTTCAGTTTATAAAGTCACCTTACTCCTTCGAAGCTGCCACCCCCATTCAGGAAGTCTGGTTTATAGCAAGCTGGGAATGTAGTTCAAGCTCAAGTAAGTAGGTGTAGAGAAAATGGCGCCCATTCACTGTGCTGTGATGCTTCTCCCCCTACTACAGAGATGCAGTCTGTAGCACTTAACCTCCTTAGAATAAATCCTATTATTTATTTATGGTATATTTAGTGTACTATTTAATTCGGGTGGTTACTGTTTTGTTGAAGATTTTGCACTTATGGTCATCAAAGATATTGGTTTGTAGTTTTCTTTTTTGGTGCTGTTCTTGTGTCATTTTGGTATCAACTTTATAGTGACCTAATAAAAGGAGTTAAGAAAAAAGAACAAAAACCCAAAGAGTTGCACAATACCCAAGAAGCTAGCTTCAACTATATTTTCTATCATTCAGAGAAAGAGAGAGAAAGAGAGAAGAGAATCTTACCACTTGGTTTCCATTAGACTTATGCAGAGGAAGAGATCAGGAATCTGATGTGGTCAAAGTCTTTATCTTGATTGCCAGCTTTGTTAGCAGTCCTACATATCATCTTCTGGAGTCATCCTGCGGAAACAAACAGCATCCAGTCTTTTGATAGTGCTTCTGACGGGCACACCACATTATACAGGGGAAAATTTCCTCATTCATTTGAGTTCTTCTGAGGCTGGACAAACAAGTTAACATCAGATAGATTAGTAGGAAAGAAGGTCAACGTTTAATAACATCTGCTTGGAGAATTTATAGGGTTGTAAATGTTAAAGAAAAAAGGAATGGACCAGGGATATTTATTCTCTATTTAAGGTTTTGGATTGTCATGGAGAGACAGAGGGAGACTTCAGGGAAGACAAGGAAGAGATGACTTTTGAGACTAAATGATGAGTTTCTGGAATTGCCTCCAGTCCAATTGCTACCATGTCCAGTGATAAACCTACAAATGGATGATCCCCCCAGACCACTTTCTTCTAGGTCATAAAAAGGGAAGCAGTGATTGTTTATTAGATTAGGAAACGGGCAAACACTGAAATAAGGACAAAATTCTCTTAACCTCTAGGAACTTCACAACATTTAACTTAAAAAAAATCTGCATTTTCAGGTAATGGTAATGGGCTTTCCTACTCTCCCAGGGTCTTGATTGGCCTTTAGTTCCCCTTATTAAGGTGCTACTTATTGGAAGAGACCTACTCTGACATATTGAGAGAAACCTTCATGACCCTTTTGGGGAGACCAGTCCCGTATTTTCATAGCCCACACTCCACTGAGTATGCATCTTTTTTCCCCTAGATAAACAACGAGTTTTGAGGAGCCAGATCATTCCCTTATGCTAATAATTATCACAGGTGTTATTTAAACTGTCTGTACCTCTTCCATACTTAATATGATTCAATTTACTAAAATAATTAAAAAATATTAATTTTGGAATAGTAAATGTGGCTCCCCTTTCTGTCCCTCCCCCCCACAATGCTGCCTGGGAGTGATTATGAACACTAACAGGTGATACTTAAATTAGGTAAAAATGTGTATTGTCTCAAAACAATTGAACAAAGAAAATGAGATAACCACAAAGTGTTTTATCATCTGAAGACATTTTCTCTCATTTCTTAACAGAGAGCAATTTAATTCAGAAAGATTGAAAGTATTGATTGAGGTATTGGCCCCTAGATACTTAACAGATGAATGAAACCAATGAAAAGGGCACTTACTGTTCATATTTCCCAATATGAGAGAACAAGTATTAATAAAGGGAGAGAGTTAATTTTAGAAAATGATACTTCCCCCAAAAGATTACATTTATTGAATATGCCTTATAAAATAGGGTTGTGGGTTATTAGCCTCAAACAATACATGGCTTATAAGAGAATGAGGTCAGAGAGATGAGTTTCCAGGGAGATTTCTTGCAGATGTTGCTCCGGATGGAGATGACACACTCAGCTTATGGTAGCCTAAGAGGCCCTTAAGGGAGCTTCTTATCTAGGGAAAGGCCTCTTCTGGGTTGTAGAACTGTGTAAATCCCTGCTTTCTGGTTTCAGCTCTTCTGCTACTTGTGTTCACTCTCCACATTTGTAGTCTATAGGTCTTTTTATCTGCTCAGCTTGTTGTCTACCTACTGCATGCACAATGATGCCTGCAAGTGGACCAGCCTTGACCAATAAAAGGCATGATCTCTCTAGAGCTTATATCTGAAATTTATGCATTCATGGAAAAGAAAAAAACCTGCAGATCATGTGCACACTCTTAAAAGGAGTATCTGATATGTATGACATATCGTTATGTGAACCAAACAAATCATTTGCAATGTGTTAAGTGCCTGGCTAAGAAGATAGGAAGAAGAGGTATTAACAGTTTAATAGGTTGTCAGGTACTTTGGGCGGTGAGCTAAGGTTTTACAAATATTAGTGATATTAATTTTTACAAAAATCACATGATAATATCCATGATTGAATGGATGACTGAACTAAGCTATAGAGAGAGTCTAAGTTGGTCAGAGTTGCTCAGATTCCTGTGAATTGGCTTAATCTGTTTGTTTTATCTTAACTATTATATTCTTTTGATAGATCCTGGTAGCTATTGTTAAAACAAAAGTTGCATGGGACAGTGTTAAACAGGCAAAGATTTTGTTCAAGGTTATTACAATAGATGTGAGGGATCACAATTATGTCTGACTCAACTCAACTGCTTTAACAAAGAGGGGGGTGGGGTCCCCCCCCCCCAGTGGCGCAGGTAGTTGAGCACGCAGTGAAGCTGTTGGCAGCCTCTGCAGTGCTGGCCTCTGCAGCGCCGGCCAGCGAGGGTCCCACATGGCATAGCAGACCTCTCCTGTTGCGCCCGCTGCTCCCTTCAGCAGTGTATTCTGTCAGTTTGCCTGTTCTGTTCCCCACCCTGTCTCTGGTGAATCCTCTCACCCTCCCGCACATCTGGCTTGTACCCTGGTTCTTGTATAAATAAATAAATAAATCTTAAAAAAACCAACAACAACAAAGAGGGAGGTGGTTGAAGGATCTTGGGTCATTTGTGTTTGTTGTTTGGCTTTATCCAAAGGAAAAGTAAACATTTAGTACTTTCATGATAGGAAATAATTTTACAACCTGAAGTGAGGAGCCTGCCAATTAAAATTAAAAATTAAAAAAAAAATGGCTCCCACATCTCAAAAAAGACATTCCTATATACCAAGGGTCCTATAAAAAGATTTACACATCAAAAATAAAGAGAAAAAGCTCACAATTGCACATTTTCCCCCCAAGTAAATGCTCTACAAAAAGAAAGGTTAGGGACTTAGACCCAGGAAGAAACCTGTCCAAAATTTAATAAAACTGAGGGAAACTTGAAGGTCAGCTTAGTAAGTCTTTCTTTTTGTTCTAGGGGAGACAAGCATTGCATTAGCAACTTAGGAAAGTTGGTCAATGGAATTTGCTTTAGCAGGTTGCTGTGAATGAAGGATTAGTTGAAACATCTACTGAGACTTGGCAGGAGAGGATATTTGGTGTGATTGAAGCAGACTATAAACCTAGTTTCTGAGTCCAGAGGAGAGCAGGTTGAGAAGATTCCCTGGCATTGGACTTGAGATATCTGTCCATGTTGGAATGAGGATGTGACAGTGACAATTTGACAATTTCCCATTTTGCAGTCTGAATGTTTTTGGTGATGTCATAGACACCCAGGAGGTTTTGGTAAGATTGTCCAGTCTTGGTTATTTTCCAGAGCAAAGCATGAAGAAGAGGTAGTTCTGGTGAATTTCTGGAGTCCCCACACAGCTGCAGCTCTAGGCATGCAGGTAGCCCCTATGTGATCTGCCATAGTGACAAGTCCTTTGATGATTGTATCTAGTTATCTACCTTCAATGTACACGTCTTTAGATCCTGCGGAGAAAGCTACATGACAAGCTAAAATCCCAGTAAGAATCTGGGAAATCAGATTTTAATTCTCAGTAATTAATTCCAAGTCAGGAGGGTGGGGAGAAAATTAGGAAAATTAATTTGGACAATTCTAGTCAGATATTGAAGGAAACTGCAAAAGTTTTAAAATTTGGTAAGGGTGGACAATTTGTATAAGACAACAGGATTTGGTTTAATGTATAGGTAGATAGCAAATCCATGTAGTTTGCAAAGAGGTGAGAAATAGCTCGATGAACAGCACCAGAATTAAAAATTCATGAGGTTGTACTGCATAGTTTTCTCTTGAAACATAAAATTTCTCTTTATAGTCATTTTTTCTTTTAATCAATGACAATCAAAGTAAGATTATTCTCAGTCACAAAATAAGTTTGGTTTCATTAGATTTGGCCTGAATACTTACATAGGTGTAGAAAGAATGTTAATTAACCACATAGGTCTTTTTAACGTTTATTTTGCTGGAAGTTTTTATAAGGAATATCGGATTAAATTTTTAAAAGCTTCTTGAGTCTAGGAAGCTGAATCAAGAATTTGTCATCAGATTTTACCTGCAGTACTTATAGATTTATTTATTTTTATTAAATTTATTTTCTTACATCACAAGCTGATTTTCCCAAGAGGGGTTTGTAAGCATTGACTCAATAAAATTGACCTTAGTTTCTTAAAATGGTCTGGTCATATCTCATTTTATGCACAGCATTTTCAAGTATGCTTTGTCAAAGCTTTGGCTATATAATCAATGTTTCTAATTATATTTGTCCCAGGTCATATTTTTATTAAGCCAATGCAAATCATTATATTGCCATGAAAATAATGGCACTCAAAAGTCCCTAAGTTGTAGGGGGAGTAGGCAAAGAGAAAAAAAAAAATATTGTATTTCATTTCTGTTGTTTACAAAAGTATAATCTACTAAATGTTTATGAACTATAGATAGTTAAGAGAAAAGAGAAAGAGGTTCCTTATATCCAGGAAATAGGACATTTAAGAATCAGCAGTATTTCAATCAAATCCGTAATCACCCTTCATGAACTCATACAGTCTTATGGAGTTCTTGTTCAGTTTGACCTTGGATCAGCAATCTTTTAAGTCCACCAGTTTCTCCAACCAGAGTCCTAGAAATCCCAACTCAGTTCAGTAGTATGATTTGCTGTTATTTCAGCAAAGCCGTAGAAGTCTGTGCCTCAGAGAACCTACATAATCCTTTTCATAGTGTCTGAGATAGTCCTTTTTAGTTGAAAATGATGTACATTGGCCTGTTGCTGATTGCAAGTGCTTTCAGGGAAGCATCATAGCCTCCTGCCTGGTCTCCCAGGCTGCAGTCTCTTCTCAACAGAATTGCCACACTCAGTCTAACAGATTTCTAGTTACATTGCTTTCTGTCTCAGACCTTCCCTTTTTTTAATCCTCTGCTCACAACCTTTCCATCTCACTCCCAGTAAATTCAATTTTGCATAATGCTCTGTGTGAACCAGCGCCCCCATCCCCAAGTACCCCCGTGTCATCTCCTCCTAATCCCCCTGACATTTCTTTGTACTCCAGTCAAATGGGCCTCCTTGGGGTTCTTTAACATTTTTGTCACCTTTCTCTCTAGGGGTCTGTACCTTCTGCTGGGAATGTTCTTCCCCCAAATATTCACATGGCTTCCTCAAATTTTCAATTTCCTGTTCAAATATTACA